GCTCTTTTAGGGCAATTAGAAGTAAAGCTGGCCTGGGCAAAAAATTTAATCAGCACTTTAGGTTTTTTGAATACAGAAAAACCAAATCATTCTGTGAGACCATTCCAGCAACTCTGGCTTGGGCTCTTGTTCTTTGACTTTCCTCTATAAAAGTACCTGATGGATATTATCAAGAGATGTCACTGATTTTTGTCTGCTCCTTTCTCCTCCACAGACCATGTCTCTCCCGGTTCACAGGCAGAGATGAGTAAAACTAGTATTTTGGAACAATTCTAACAGCATAACAATCGTTAATTGGTAAAGTACCCTAACAGTAACTGTAGGCAAGGCTTGCTTTTCTGGGCTTAAAGGTCTCCTTTATCTTGTATGTGCTAAGTATTTACTCAGTTGGGCATTTCATGCCTTGAGCTTTGTTGGCCTACTTGTTTGGACAAAGCCATTGCTCTGTGAGGTGTTTGCTGGAAGTCTTGGGCCAGCTGCAGTGAATGGCAGAGGCCAGTGCAACTACATTAGCTGGGGATTCAACATCCAGTTTAAAAGGAAATACCAAATGGAAATGTCTCCATCCCCCACTGTAACAATGGGCAAAACCACCCTGCCTTCCTCTGCAGCCTGTTTTTTAAAATCAACCCAAGGATGAGTGAGGAGAGTAAACATTGCTGGAATATGCATTTCCACTGAGGTTAAATGTATTTGTGTGCAGCTTTCCAAAATTAAACTTTGACAGTGGCAAATGGGGATTTGGGTGCAGAAATGCAATTAGCTGTGACTCAGGACTCTGGATGTACAGGTGGGCAATGAGTTCTCTCATGGAAACCTGATAAAGTAGCAAGAACAACTTACAATGTGTTAATATGAGCAGAGTAAATAACACAAAATGTTATTAGTGTTTGACATTCATTTCCAAGTGGCTCCTTTGGGTGATGTAGACAGAAGTGCACCTGGCAGGTGATGGTAGGTGATGTTTTTCTTGTGGAATAGTCATTGTCTTCCTGTTAGCAACATTCATTCTCTTTTCTTGAGTTCTGAGATCCTGAAAGAAAGACATTATAAGAACTCTGATGTATTATTTTCATAGAATGGTCTCCCAGACATCCTGTGGTGTCAATAAGCATCACTCATCACCTGGGCCAGGAATTAGTTTTTCCATCTTAAAGATTAATTCATAAAAGGTTTGGCTAAGGCTTTCAAAGAAAAAAGCAAGGCTTTCCAATCACCCTTCTCAGTGGTTTGTATCAGCTTATCCTCTGCCTTCCAAAATGTGTGGGACAACGTTTTCTCCCTTCATACAATAATCACTTAGAGAATGTCCTAGAGATAAAATAGAGTGGTCCTATGCCTGTTCATAGGTGCAAGGCAGAGACTGTGTCTGTCCTTTTTTTCATGGCTATCAAGCATTGCAGGGTAAGTTTGGCACCCAAGGATGCCAACGTAGTGGGCATTGTAGGTAAATGAACAGGAAAGGGAGGGGCAGCATTCTGTTGGCTTATTAAATTACTTTTTAAATTATTTAACTTTTAGTTAGAAGGAGATCGAGAGATTTCTAGGTCTTTTGGGGTTTTTTTTCCCCCTCTGGCAGCCAGATTTTTTGCTCCCACTTTTGAAATGTAATTTATATATTCTGTTTGAATTAAACTTGGTCCTTCTAATTCTCTGAAGTACTGTTTCTCTCATATCTGAATCTTTGGAGGATGGAGATACAGCCACGACTGTCTTCTGTGCTAGTGACTGTATCATCTGATTCAGAGCTCCTGTATTCCAAAGCCAATAATGATTCACTCTCACAGCAGTGGTGTGAGCAGTCTCAGCTTTTATATGCCATCTGTGTGAGTGAGCTGAATCTGCAGAAATGGGACCCTGTACACATGGCTTTTCCTCTGTTCATGGATGAAAATATTAAAGCAAATCCGTATGGTCCATGAGATGTTTTCTGTGTCAGGAAGGGAGTAAAACTGCCTGTCAAACCAAGCTGTTCTCCCTGATGAAAGGGGACTGTTTTTAAACACTCCTTTCCATAGTATTTTGCACGCCAGCCATGTGTGCTTTCTCATCTGACATCTCATTGAGATCCTTGGCTTCAGTTCTGCAGGAGGGAAGTGTGTTCTGGAGGGGAAGGAAATTATCTCTCAATATATACACAAGCACGTGTGCACACATGCTCTTGAATCAATCTTAAATGAATTGAATTTTTTTTTAGGAATACAAAAGAAAATTAATCTGGTTGAGCCAGACTTAATTGCTTCCCTTTTGTTTGGATTTTCTGTTTTCTCATGAAGATATTAGGAAGCAGTGCTCTGAGCTATTATTAGATACAATGGTAGAGACAGGGCAAAGGGTTCATTTACAATTCGTACAGCAGTGCATTGAAATTTAAAGCTAAAAGGCAAGTTGATGAGCATCTTGAAAATAAGGATTCATCCACTAAGTGTGAGTGGAGTATACTCCATGGAATATTTCTGAAGGTTCAGGCTGGTCTGGGGAGCTAACCCTTTGTGAAGCTACCCACTGGCTGGAGGAACCAGAAAAAAAAAGTGGTTTTGTTTTTTCTTTTTTAGTTAATGAAAGGACTCATCTTGCAGGGAGAAGCTTTGAAACATGAACTGATATAATGTAATGAATTGCTATAAACACATTTCTTTTGAAGGAAGCAACTGGAGTTCAGTTCTGTCAGGAGACTGAGAAGCTTTAAGGTTATCCACAGACACACATTTCTGTGTTTTGAAAAATTCAAGTCAGTTAATCCCAGATAATGGGATACCATTATAACCACTACCTCACCTCCACGATCTTAGGGCAATACTGCAAGGAGCAATTTGATCCTGTTGGGCAGGAGAGCCCATAGATTAGAGTGTGCTGTTGCAAAAGAAATCCAACTCCAAAACAGTTTTCTAGCCCTTTCCTAAAATGCAGTGGTGATTATAACTTCCTTTCACAGAATCAGAGAATGGTTCAGATTGGCAGGGACCTCTGGAGATCATCTGGTCCTATCCGCTGTTCAGGTGGGGCCACCTAAAGCCTCTCGCCAGGGGCCATATCCAGATGGTTTTTGAGTATCTCCAAGGATGGAGACTCCACAACTTCCCTGGGAAACCTGTGCCAGCACTTGGTCACCTTCAGTGTAAAAACAGTTTCCTGATGTTCAGAGGGAAGCTCCTGTGTTTCAGTTTGCGCCCATTGCTTCTGGCACTGTCACGGGGCACCACTGAAAAGAGCCTGGCTGTGTCCTCTCTGCACCCCCCAGGTGTTCACAGACATTGTTGGGATCCCCTGAAGTCTTCTCTTCAAGCTGAACATTCCCAACCTGTCCTCATAGGAGAGATGCTTCAATACCTTAATCCTCTTCATGACCCTACACTGTAGGCTCTCCAGTATGTCCATGTCTCTCTTGTACTGAGGAGCCCAGAACTGGACACAGGCACTCCACATGTGGCCTCACCAGTGCTCTCATTGTCAAAAACTGACCTCCTGTGGAAAGGTTTGGAATGGGGGCTGTTCCAGCTGGGACATAGACATGGGTTTTGGATAGCTCCAGTTTGAGCACTGCAGGGTTTTTTTGGGCTTGCTCTGCCAAGCCTCTTGTATCTGGGACTTGCTGCTGCATTTGGGCAGCTTTGGTCAAGGAGAGGTTTTCATCTGGGTAGCTCAGCTTTGCTGATCTGACCTGTGGAATAAATGTTCTTTTTTGAACTTGTTTCTTCTTTGGCATTAACTTCTTTTTTTTTTTTTCCTCCCAGTGGCTGTGCTGAGGCTTGTTCAGTTTGCCAGACTAAAGGGCATCACAAGAACATGCATCATTTTGTACTTTTTGTCTAAGGCAACAAAACAAAAATAAGTTTTAAAAAAATCATTTTGTTATATTTTTTTTTTTCTGTGAAAGTTCCTGAAGCATAAAAATAGTGTCTTTCCTTGAAGAGAGGATATTACTAATGTAAATCTGATGCTGTTAGCAAAGGAATAATATGATGTATGTCATAAGGCAAGGAACTGAGGAGGAGCTGGAGTGATGGAAATGCCTCACGGGCATATAAGATTGTGGGGATAGGTATTCACACAGAGGATGCTTTCTTACATGTCCCAGGGCTTTCTCTTATCTCTGAACATGAACCCGTAGTGAAATAGAAATGTTCCTGTATTAATAGTGCATTGGAGATAACCCTCATCTGAAAAATACAGTAATACTGCACAACTGGGAACCCTTTAAGAGCAGGGAATTGGACTAAGAATTTCCTAGTGTGTTGGTAATGAAACATTTTGGTTCTGTATAAGCAAATGGACAAGGTTAGTGGACACATTACTCTGGTTGTCATTGTCCCAGCAGTAACCAATTGAGAGGCTTTATATTTTCTGCTATCCCAGAAAGGGAAAGAAAAGTAGAGAGTTAAAAATAGAAATCCCAGAAGGAATTAAAGTGCAAAGAGTGAACAAGCTCATAGTACTGCTGTATAAATTTGAAATCCCTTTTTTCCTTATAATCAGGACTTTAATATATGTATTACATTGCAAATTCTGGCAGTGACTGTCCTGCTCCAAAAGGTCACCTCCATACAGGAGGATTTGTTCTGGCCGTAACATGTGAACATGGGCATCCAGCCCTGGATCTATCTGTTTGTATTAATGGTTACTGTTTGTATTTCACTTCATCTGATGCTGTTGATTTTCTGGAGAAACATGAGAAATTGTCTGTGGCTTTGGCCTTCAAGGGAGGACATTAAAATAATATCTTCTGGTGCCTGTGTATAGATCATAATTGGGTTTTTTTCATAGCTCTTTCAACAGCTGTGGACAGATATCAGGCCTTCATGAATGGTTTTTTTCAAGTAGGTCCCCTGTAGCACTGCCCTACATGGGACAACAGTGGTGTGTTTCCTTTCTCAAAGTTAAGTGTCCTGCACTCTCGGTTTCATCAAGGTCACCTTTTCTCTTTAAGTTTCCCATCAAGATTAACACAGTTTCTAAAGCAGATGTCCAGCCTGATGTGGAACTGTCTCCTTGATTTGCAGATATCCTTGTTGATGGCCAGCTCTGTGACTGTGATGTCGTGGTGAACTGCCAGGTGGGCGACCCCGTCCCGCTGCAGGTGAAGTTGACCAACTGGAGCAAACACAGCGTGGGGCCCTTCGCCCTCACCGTGATGCCCTACCAGGATTACCAGAATGGGGTGCACAACTATGACCTGCAAGATGCCATCACCTTCGTGGGGTCCAACACCTTCTACATCGACTCAGTAAGTCGTTTTATCAGGAGTATCAGGATTCTGGATGATCAGCATTTCCAGAAAAGGGCTTCCTTTTTTAATTGTGCATTTTAAGGCAAATTAATTTTCGGAAAGCACCATGATTATGGCATTTGTTGCTAGGTTGGGGGATACAGAATCATCTCTCTGAAATGGTTTAAGGCTGTAATTTCCTACCATGTAAACCACTAGTAAATTATCAGAGACAGTAACTTTTGGTCACCCCAGGTCGGACTAAATGTGAGCGGGTAACCTAGATTGAATGGTCAATACCATATCACCAGTCCCTTGAGTCATCCAGTGCAGCTGCAGTAATAGATTTTAAATAACTTTTTCTTTTTAGTCCATAAGAAATATTCCCCAGGCTGAGCCAGGGAGCTCAGCAAATCAGTTTTAGTCAGGTCCTGAGGAAACGCAACAGACTGTAAAAAGAAAATGCTAAACATTAATGACCAGTCTGATGAGCTGGTTCATTTCCTTGGTGCTTAGCATACTGTTACAAAACTATAAAGAAATGCTTAAAATGAGGCAAAAAAGCCCCTTTTTAAAACTATTTAGATTATGATTTTTCTCTCAATTTCTTTAGAAGGTTCAAGCCTGGGAACTTTTTGCTTCTGAGGCAAGACACTGAAAATACAGATAAAACTACTCCCTCCCATATCCTTTCCCCCTCAAAAAAATGCAACAACAAAATACTAGGAATGAAAACTTGCAGACAATGCTGCCGAGTGGAACAAGCAGCATTTCTGGTAACTGAAATAAACATGAAGGAGGGGGTGAGTGTTTGGGATAGTGCTTAGGACCTTTGCTTAGGTCAGCTTTTTGGATCAGTAATAAAATGTACCCGTCAAAACTGAATATATGAGTGAACCTTCATAAGAAAGAAATTAAAGGTCAACCACAGGGATAGTCACCATGCACATTTTTCAATTACCCATCGCAGAAGAAAATATTTGTAAAAGCTAATGAGCATGAAATACACCATCAGCTTGAATTCTAATGGGGGCTAACTTTATTCTTATAGCTGCATAATTTAAGTATATCAACAGAAATCATCCAGAGATGGGTTTCTCTGACTCACTTCCTGACAATGTGGAGTTTTTAATCAGACTGGTAGTGTTTGGATGCCTGGCTGCCGAAGGGCCTGACCCTCCAGGCTAATGAGGGAATAGGGAGATGTCAGTGTGATGTATTCTTACCTTCTGATTGAGTCTCCTACAAGGCAAAAAGTCAGGAGGTTACATCTCTTGTGCCTGCCCAGGCAGCTTTCTCATACGTTACGGTCTCCGCTTTTGCCCCATTGTTCAGGATTGTGACATTTCTCCTGTAAACACAGTCCCCAAGAAGTTAAAAATAGAATTGTCTTCTGCTATTTGTCCTCCTTTCCATCCAAAAAAGTGAAATGAAGAAAACGTTGACAAGAAGTGTTATATTTCACAGTGTGTAGTGTTGATGCTACAGAGACTCCCAGAGAAAATGCTTGGTCATGTTTCATCGAGGCATAGAGCCCTCATCATGGAAGAAAACTCTTCAGTATATCTATTGCTGTCAGAGGCCCTTTCTTCCCTCATAATAACTAATTTAGTAATGGAAAATAGATTTCAGAAAGGTCCACCTGTTTTGGGGACAAGAAGAAAGTCCTGGTTTGTGCATTTGATGCTTCAGGGAAGAACAACCACACACAGAATTGTGTTCATGCTCTGAGTTTGGTCAAAAGTCAGACAGACACTGGTCAAAAAACTAAAGAAGCTCATGGTTGGGTGAGATGAAAGAGAATCAGAGTTTCTCTTTTTTATAAATGAAAGTTGAGACACTGGACCAGATTCCCTGCAGGTCTTCAACTCCGCTCTGCTCTGTTGAAGCCATTAAAAACGGCCGCATTATTTTTTTAACCTCAGGTCATTGGCACTTGATTATTTTTCTTCTTTAATGGAGGTGTCTTGAGTTGCTGCCCTTTCCCAGCTGCTTGTGAAAGATGCTGCCCTCTTCCCCAGCAGACCCACCGGAAGAGATGCTGTGAGCACTTGTTTTTGTGCAAAGTTGTCCAGTTTAGCAAAACCGATGTTCGTCAGCAGTTTAAGCTAATTGGGCTGACTTCACTCTGACACTGGCACAGAGGTGCTGACATGATTTATTACAGGGCTGAGCTGGGTGGGAGGAAGGATGGAGAACTAGAGTATGGTTTGGTGTGTCACTGGTGTATGGTCAAGAATGAGTGGGAGCATCAAGTATTATAGCAAGAAAAGATACTTCCCACACTGAAAAATTTGTACTGTTGTCATGCTGATGCAGAAACTGCATTATTGGTATTCAGTTGAATGTGATTTCTCTAGGGGGAAAGCAAAGAAAACCCCAAACCACCCTGGTTTCCTAAATGTTAGTTTCATATTGAGCCTCATGCTCAAAAATTCACAGTTATTTTTGATTCTGGACTAAAAAGTTTCAAAGCAGTTTCTGCTGCTATCTGGAAGACAGGGGATATATACAGGAATTTTCAGAATGCACATGCTGCTTCGCAGTATGAATACAAATTGTTGAAAGGGCAAAAATCACACGATTTTGTATTTCTCTTTCTTGTGGCTTGAAGTCCAGGTGAGATGATTTATCTTGGAAGTAATGTAATGACACTTATTCACCTTTTTGTGCTTTTACTTCAGTTCAATGCAGCAGCCTGGGTTTGTGTCACAAAGTCTCTGCTGGGACATGCTACTTCAAAAAGCAAAGTCTTTTATTGAAAATTTTAAAGGATATTGAACTATTTCCATGCATTTCAAATTAAGTAGAATCTTTATTTTTAAGCACAGCTTCTAATTTGGTTCACCTTACTTTTCTATGTCTGTATTTAACAGAAAAATGTCTTTCTCAGTTATTATTTAGCTAGTTGACATTTTTGTTCAATGGGGAGTCTTGAATCACAAGATAACATGGTGGAATCCACCCATTAAAATATGGTGCATTGATTTAATTTTTTATCTTGCTTCACAACATGAAGTTTGCCTTAAACCATGTTATTAAAATTTTTAGTTCTTACCAGGTAGTTTTTTTTTTTACTAATTAGTTAATCAGACAGAGTTGCTTCTTGCCAAATTAAAACCAAAAATATTATCTTCTATGGAGATTCCTTTAGCTCCCAGCAGTTCATCCTCCCTTGTTGTTCCTACTGGTGCCATCACTATTCTCAAGCAGGTTTTTTTTCCTGCTCTTGTTATCATGCACGAGATCAAGTGGTTGGTAGTGGGAGATGAGGAGAAATTCATTAGTAGATGGTCATTTTAAATCAGCTCAGAAGCCACGATGAACATTTGCTCACTTCTGGCAGGTCCTCTGTGGCCCATCTGGAACAAATTAGTTTTCTTGGCACTGTTTTACTCGCACTGTAAACTCTTTGGGGCAGTGAACAGGAGCTGGCACTAGCCCTAATCTCCAACTGAGCTCCCTAAGTACTACAGCAGTATAAATAAGTAGTAATTAGTTCTAAGCAATCTCAGTCCCACATGGTAGCCTAAATCAGGGAAGGATTAGGATGGATCTAGAAACTTAATTTTTCTTCTCTCTTGGTGGAACAAAGGAGTAACATGGACATTTTTTTTTCTTGATTCTGTGGTCATTTTTTTTCTGGGGTAGAAGCTTCCCATCTTTGGTTTCCACGATTTGGTGGAATTTTAGTAAAGTCTGTTTCAGCTCTGACTCAGCTCAGGGAGCATGTTTTCAACATCATCACAAGTTGGCACAGCAAGTAATGACAAATCTAGTTGGTGACACTGAGACAGCTGTGTGCTGCTAGATCGAATGACAATACAAATTTGGGCTGGGTCAGGCACAAATATGTGATCTTCATGTTTCTCATAGGTTAGCTGGATCTTGCACTGCAATCAGTGGGATGGTATGTCCTGTCAGCTATGGCAGTGAACATCTGACTTGTGA